GGGGGGGGGGTTGGTCTGATTGTTCCACGATTGTATTACTGCTAAAACCATATACCCTGAAATGATGTTTACTGCGGTTTTCGATATTCTGCGAACTCAAATATTTCACGAAAGGCTTGTTGTGAATTTGGTTTTTAGGGGCATTTTACACGATATATACCGGAATGAATTTCATTCGGAACGAGTTCATCCCGGTATTTCTTTATATTGGTTTACCGATACCTGAGCAAAATTCATTCCGGAACGAGTCATTCCGGAATGAGTTCATCCCTGTTTTCATTCCTTAACGAAACGCTCGTTCTGGAACGATGTTCCATGCCGGTACCATGTGAACGTGGTACGACCACATATTCCGGAACGAAACCGCCTTTTGGGGAAACTGAAACGAGTGACGCATGCGTATCAGACATTTCAAGCTTGAACTCGTTCTGTGAATTTTTCTCATGTAAATGCTGTTCATTTCATTATCGTTTCGGAACGAACTCATTTCGGTATCATATAAATGGCCCCTTGCTGCGTTTTGTGACGAGTTGCACGCTGTAACTTTTTTGTTTCCAATCAAAAATAATCAGTCGGTACCTTTAATATTTTTGCCTGACGGCAGTAAAGGGCCTTTTAAATGATACCAGAATGAATTCGTTCAGGAACGAGAATCAAATGGGAAAAATTCGCATAACGAGTTCCGGCTTGAAATATATGCGTCACTCGTTTCAGTCTCCCCAGAGAGCGGTAAGATTCAAAAATGTATACATTCTCTGGATTGCAGACAATCTTCATACAACTTTGCATCTAAAATTTGACAGCAAACTCTTTTTTCCGATTAATAATATTAACGAGAAAAAAAAGATTTGAATAGCTAACGTGACGTCACGTTGAAAACCTTAATAAGGCTTAATAATAATCAGTTTCGTTTCTTTAATTTAACTCAACGACTTTCCTTTACATATCTAGCCGTTCCTCTTTAATGCTACGCGGTCCACACTGATTAGATGTTTGAATTTGTCTACCAGCATTTTAACTATCAACAAAATTTTAACAAATTGACGCCAAGCAGCCATTGCAGCCCGTGGCAACTACGTGTGTTAGTCCCACGTAATCTACTCTTAAGGATTCAACACGAAAAAAGCATGATCTTATCCTGTGTTGTACCTCACGGGCGTGAATAATGATTGTTAAAAGGGTTCTAAATAAAAAACATTTGATCAATAAATATAGCGATACGCCGTATATATATCCCGTTGTTCTATTCCTAGTTGATAGTTGATTTTACTTATATCAGCTGAGCAGATTTGTAAGATCTAATAACGTATACGTAACGAGAGCCCGAGTGTTAGAAACAAGGCGGGAGGAGAGACTCTCTCCTCTCACCCTGGGCCTGGTTGTACAAAAGGGTGGATAGCGCTATCAGGCGGATAAATCCTTATCCAGTGGATAAGCCGATGCTGTTATCCAATAAATTTAACTATACACTGGACAAGATTTATCCGTCGGATAGCGCTTCGTACAACAGGGCCCTGGCTGGAATTAGCGCGGCGCCGGTTGCTCGCGTTTTGGTGCGAAAAGTTCCCGCCAAATCTACAGGAACTGGCTTTATCATGAACCACCGAGGGAACTATTTAGTCCCGCGGAGCCTTTTTGTTCCAAACATGAAACAATGCAAATTTTATCAAACTTTTACTTGCCTCGTTAAACGTGTGGAATTATCTAAAATGGACGATGACGCCCTTCAGACGAGTATAAAGACAGGTAGGCTGCAGGCAAATCACTACATTTAACTCCCAGTGAATAGCTAACTATGGAGCCAAACCATCTAGTGGAAAATCGTCTCCTTCTGTTGTCTTGATCTTTAAATTTGATACATTAGTTCTGATGTGAGCTTCATTTTTGCGCTGAAACCAGCGCGGCATCCCAGATTTTGATTGTCTTTCTTTATCTTTTATCTTTTGATTGTTTTTTCTTCACTTCCTTCCTTAATTTCCTATTATTTTACTTCTTTATCATTTCCCCTGTCGTATCTTGATTTTACTTTCTCTCTTACTTTCTTTTATTTTTCCCCTTTCTTCTTATCATTAGTTCAGTTTCCTATTCTTTTTTAGTGTCGTACGCCACAAATATTCTAGATCTGGATTTCACTATTATATATTTTCACAATGCCATTGAGGGAAGTTCATTGTATAACACTCAATCCGGTCGACTTTGTGAAAAAAGGGACTGAAACGTCTAATCATCTAATTCCGGACATAAAGTCGTCTATGTTGGCAACAATCATCAGAGGTTTAATCGAACGCTTACGTCAGCAAGGTCATGACGTCATCATTATAAGAAACAAAGTGAAACGCAATTACCGGGAGGAGACCCGATATTTTTTGGGTTAAGATAGCGGAACCGGGAAGTATCCCATCTCCCCTACGGGCTTATTGAAATGCTCGATATAGGATTAGTGTAGTGGATGTATAGTTGTAAACCGGGGCATATTTACGTTGTATGGCATATCTTGAAGTATACACAGCCGTGCTGAATCCAGGATTATACTTCCAGAGATGATAAAATCCAGGTATGAAAACGTCGACCCCAAAGTTATCAGCTTACCAGTCTCGATCGCAGAGTGGCCGCCAACGTGTGTGTTAATTGTGTTTTGATTTTCTTGGGAATAGCAACAGACTACTTATCACTAATTCTTCTTAACCTCCTTGTGAAACCAAAACTCTAAAACGGAACAGACGTTAAAATGCTATTCAGGAAGATTTGCAGGCAAAAACATAGGAATTATGCCCAGGGGGTACTCCCATCCATAAACGAAGGGCAGGGATATATATATATAGTCATAGAATCTTTAAGTGGTCGAAATCGTAAGTTACTCCCTCTTTTATAGCTGAAAAAGGAAATGTTTCTGGCTTTTAGACCGTCTTTTTCTTTAATGGTTTCGATAAATTTATCTTGTGCTTCGAATTCGCACGTTTTAGGGCTAAAATTCTTTTATGGGTTTTCGACGACCATCCCACCCTTTTTACATGGGTGTACCCCTTCTCCCTCCCGGTATAGGGGATCATTTATGAGAGGTTTATTTATAGAGGCATTTCAGTCTCTTTTTTTAAACTTCCTTCCTTCAGTGATCTTGTAATTAAAAATGACCAATTTGCAAAATGTTTGCTTAAAAAAGGATTAAAACAAACAAAACTAACTATGAATTCTACTTCAGTCTATCAAGTGTCTCCCTGGGGGTAGTAGGGTGAGCAAGATTAATGTCGATTCTCTCCACGCACGTGTTTCAGTGCTTTCATAACATGAAAATGTTACAAATGAAATTTGATCTTGCACTTAAGCCGCTCTATCAATTTCAGTCTGGTTGGCGGGGCTAGGAATTTTAATTTATAATTTTTTGAAAGTTTAAAAATCTTTATTATTATTATTATCGTTTTAATTCGGAGTTCTCGTCCTGCTTAATAAACAGTGCCTTGTAAATATACTAAGACTGATTTTCATTCAATTTTATTCAATATGGGTAATACTGATCGGCTTCTGTTTGAGAAATATCTGATATCGGCATTAAACATGATTTTTTCCCTTGTCTCAGCAGGCTTTCAATGTTCAATTTAAAAAAAAATCTTTTAAAATCATCCGAATCAAAAGGCAAAAATGTTCATGTCAAACTTCATTTCCCCCCTTTTCTTTAATCTTTATTAGTTCATGGTGTATAATTTACCATTTTATCATTAGCATATCAGTTCACAACTAAACTGATTCCATAAGTTGTAGTAAAGAGAAAGAAAAAAACACTTATGGAATCAGTCTAGTTTACAACTTCCTGTTCTTTTAAATATTGACACACCAGCTCTAGCAACTTTGACCGGCTTCTCGAGTGCTTGCCGAAAGAGCTGCCCGAAAAACCTAACGACAAGTGATCGGACACCGTCGGAAAGTCGTCGTTGTTCTTTCGAAGTTGATGTTTCGATTCCATGACAGCTCCATTATTATAAAGTGGGTGGATTTGTGGCAATTCATCTTATTTCCTATGAATTAATACGAGTTATGGAACTAGAGAATATAGTAGCCAACACTGTATATATCAAAGCAAGAGAAAGTAAGTTATGAGGTGTAGTTTGAGCGCTTGCACTCGCTATAGAAGTATTTTTTGTGTGCCTAACTTGAGCATCGTTGCCAGCTACTTTCAAATTTGAGGAAAGAAAATAGTAGCTTGTTGGAGACTGTTCTTATTATTACTGCTAAACTATTGATCAAATCACTACCTTTGCATATTTCAGGTAAAAATAAAGGACGAAGTAAAAAGTGGAAGGAGCTTCTAAGGTTTCCCCACTACACACTCTGCGTTAAAGATGAGTTTCGCTCGCAGAGTAAGTTAGGAGAGTCGCTCGTTTACTTTGGCACCTCGAAATGTTTTTACCTCGATGTTGGAATTTGGATTACGCCTGTGTGAAACGAGAGTTTGTGGCTCTCTGAGGGTCGAAGAGCTATGCTAAAGGTTTCTTCTTTCTCGTCCTTCTCTAGTTCCTCAGGAATATGACAAAATATGCGAGAAAGAACCCATTGGCAAGGAACTTTTTCGAATATTTTGTGCCACAGACCCACGATTGCAGCAGGCCATAGACTTTCTGGATTCAGTCGTAAGTAGAAATGTACTTTGATTCTTCCTTATCACCATGCAGCTAGACTTTCGAATTGATGTGATTAAAACGGCTGCATGACTTAACTTATCATCTGTCTTCCCAACACATTCAAAGGAAGAATTTATAAAAGCCGAGGCCACAAATCGACCCGAAAAGGCAAGGGATATCGTCCGACGCCATTTGCAACCACCGGATAATGTAAGTATGTCCACTAAAAATAACTAGGACTTCAAATGAATCTTGAGACAAAAATCCCATCCTAACGCCTTTACGAGCTGGATTTTCTACTTACTTAGTTTATTGAGTAACTTCATGATGGATTAGATTGTGAATTTTTAGATATATGATCAAGAATTAAACGATATTAGAGGTCAAAAAAGCGTCATTTTGTTGACCCAAAATGAGGTTTGCCATCCATCGATTTGTTGCTAGACATAGTCTACCCTCTCTAACCCAAATCATTATTTTCCCCAAGACAAATCCGGCGTCTTGGTCCTTATATATGGAGTACATGTTTCACTTCAATACTTTGCGTGAATAATTTCGTGAGAATTCTCGAAGCTGTTCATATAATAATTTGATGTAATATATTTAGAAGTCGAAATTTTTTTGTTGTCGTCTAGCTTCTTGAGCTATAAGCCAGAAAATTTACACAGCCATGCAAAGTCTTTAAAGAGCATCCTTAAACTTATTTGGATTCCAATTCTTAGCCGATCTTGTACTTCCCTCAGCAGGGATCTCGTTCTAATAGTCGAATCTTTTATGACTCGAAAGAAAAACACTGAAACGTTTCCTTTTCTCGCCCGATATAATGTAAGCTTGTGTTTATTTAACTAGGTTTTAGCAGCATCGAGCTCTATCAACTCCTTTGGAAATATGAAATATCACAGAAAGCTTGCTTCTTTGTTTTTGTTTTGTCAAACTAGATTAGGAATTTCCTTCAACTGAGACAGAAAATCTGATTTAAGATTCAACTTTAGTATGAAGTAGGAATTTAAATTGTCTTCATAATTCAAAGTTGTTATTTGTAATTTTTTTCTCTCTCTAAAAAACTAGGCTTATCACGATTCGGTTACAAAAATCCAAATAATCTGAAAGTATTTATTATTGCTACATCACAAAGAATTTTATGTTTAAGAAATAATACAATTTATTTCCTTTCGACTGTGAATTTGTTTATGTAAATTAATGTATATGAATCATTCTATAAAATAAAGTTACTTTTTAGCGTTGTTTTATTATTAAAATTTTAGTTTCACAGTTGAGCTGTTAACATATCGTAAATATTTTAATTAATATGCTTGCAAAAGGCATTATAGTAATACCTGTAAAAATTTTAGAGATATACCTATCTTATTCTTGTAGTATAGATAGTGTTAATTGCACATCATTAACAGGGGCTTCTACTGTATCTTCTGGGCACGCTATTACTACAGTGGCCCACTACATTAACCAAGGCCACCCTAACAAATTTTCAATCAAATTCACAAAACACATTTTTGACAATAAATAACAGAATAGTGACAAATTGAATTCTGTTTCTAGTTCAGTCCTGATGGCAAATTCAGTATAAGTAAAATGTGTGCTCATAAAGAGAAAAGTTTTGTACGTTCTTGTTTAAATACTCAATCATGATTGGCTAATTATGTATGAAAATTTGTTTGCATGAACTTGGTTGGTATAGTTTCACTGGAAATGTGATGTCATTAGTTATTTCTAACTTTATATCGAGACAAATCTAAACATTTTTGATGTTACAGCTAACAATAAATCTCTCATCTTTCTTGTTTTCAGTAATTTATGAAACAATTAATTTCTAGTGTATGTTTTAATACATTTGAAGATGTTGGGAACTGTTTCTTTATGATTTATACATTAAATATGTTAAATTATAGCAATATTGGTGGAAATCAATATGAATGTTTCCATAGCATTGTTGGGAAAAACAAGTTTTCAAGGGTGCATTTCTATAGAATGTCATGGAAAAACCTTGATTGACATCTACCAAAAATTACTTTTCTCAGTAGAAAATATTTAGGTCTTGATATGGGAAGGTATTTTCCATATATTTAAAGTATACTATACTGTACTCTGACAAGGAAGGTAATAAAGTAATGGCTGCTAGATAATTGGCTGGTCATTTGCTGGCCATGATAACCAGCCAAATTGATATTATAACTTTGGTGCACCTTGTTTCTAGCTCAAGGTTACTGTTAAAAATGAATAGCAAGCTAAAGCATTGTCACGTTACCAGCAATTATTTTAAGCCCTGCTCTGCTGTCATTGCTTTATTTCCTTGAATAGCTTTAATTTATAGACTTTCAATGCATGTTACTTAAATTATATTGTTTTCGATTCGTAATCTGATTGGTTGACAAACTCAAGTGCTCACGGTTAGAGTGGAACGACAGTAATTTTTATGCTAAAACCTTGCAAATTTCTATGTAGAAATTAAATAATATTTGGTCTCTTAGGTTAGTATTCTTAGGTTAGGTTTAGAATGAATCTATGATTTTTGACCAGCCATGACTGGTTTTTAACATCAATTCCAACAGTAATAAATGCAAAAATTGACACCTTTAACAATCCAATGTATTAACTTGAATTAAGAATTTATTTATTTAATCATTTTTTCACTTTCATAACACTTTTTTTAATAGAAACCTACAGTGAAGCTTGGATATAATGTATAAATTTTTTCCTTCCAGACAACAAGTAATTCTTTTAAAAATAAGATTATTATTTTGTTTGAAATGTGACTTTATTCTCATGCACAATTTATAAACAAAGAAATGATATTCTAGAATATACTCATTTAATGGAAAAGCATTATACCCTTAAGCTAAAACATCTGTAAAGTCAGTGATATATAATTTTATATGCATACTCGTTATTCCCCTTTTTGACTGCTTTAAACAGAATCGAGATTTTGTTGAAGAAGAGGAAATCACTTATCGTGTTGGTGGTGTGTTGGACGACACAGCTGAAAAAGCTTATAGTGTAGTTTCACGATCTTCAGATGAGGAGTTTTCTATTAACCTTTTTAACGATGCAGTTCGGTGAGTAATGTGTTGTACAGTGTACTTAATAGTTTTAGATCTGATTGGTAAAATAAAAAGGCCTAGAGCAAGGGCAGGGCTCCTGAATTTTTTGGCTCTCCCACCATTCTCTCATTTATATAAACTGGGTTTAAAAAAATGACCCTTTAGGCTGGAACAATCCCACGTTTTTATATAAAAACAAAAATAATATTTCATTTCTCAAGTGTACTGTATGCTGCTGAGAAAAACCTCTTACAAGTATGCTTTTCGAATTGTGATAACAGAAGTTTGGACAGAATTATTGTTTTATTTTGTTCCTGTTTTATTTTTAGTGAAGTTAAAGATTACCTTAGTGATTTTCCATTTAAGAAGTACTTAGATTCCATGTACTTTGCTCGTTATCTTCAATGGAAATGGCTCGAAAAGTAAGTGTCAACAAAACTGATTTCCATGGTAACGTACAGTACAGTAATACGTCTTAGACTATAAACCATTTATGAGATATATAATTGGAACTATGAGATACAGTGGGAAGATAAAATCGATGTTTTATCTAGAAAATTAAAAGAGTACATGTATTGTTCAAGTAATATTCCTTTTATTTATTTATTGTGGTTAATGTTTAAAAACAATTTTGGTTTCATAAATATTGCATGTTTGATGTGCAAAGTTTGATATTTTTTTATTTTATTTTTGAAAGAATAAAGGTTACAAAGAAAACTTTCAGGCACTATAGAGTTTTGGGAAAAGGTGGATTTGGTGAGGTAAGGAAATCTTCTTATAATTGCATATTTTTTTAAGGGTTCTAAATGATTTAGTACTCCCCCTAATTAGGGTTTTCATGTGTCTCTCACAAGTACTACCACTATACTCAACAATATATGCATAGAGCACATTCCACATTGATTATTTAAAGGAAGCAGTCACCCTAAAGGACCATTCATTGTTCATGGGAAGGAGAGTGAATAAGCAATTAGCATGATCTTAATACCTTTACATTGCCAAAAATGTTTGGTCCACTTCTTCTTCCTGACAAAAAAATATGTATTTCAAAATGAAAAGCAGTTCTATAAAGATTTTTTTTATTTTCTTACTTTTTCTTCATGATGGGACTTGTTGTTCTAATTGTTTTTAGGCAGAGATTAAATCTTTAAGAACTTGTTTGAGGTTGCGACGTAATACGCTAAAATTGTTTAGTTAAACATGTAAAGAGGCTATATGAACTTGAGTGAAAATTGTTTAAATGTTTGGCTTTATTCTAGTGGGGTTTGTAAGCAGTTGGACCTGGAAATATATCAAATATTACAGCTCTATTGTCTTGAGGAATTTTACTATTTTCTCCAATTTATTATTAATAATGTTGCATTATTTATGCTAAGTGACTAATTTCTTAAAATGTGTTTCTGCTATTTGTGTGGTTGTATTTTTCTCAGATTAATGCTTTTGTTTTATCTATTTTATCACCCAGGTATGTGCATGTCAAAGCAAGATAAGTGGCAAAATGTATGCCATGAAAAAACTGGAAAAGAAGCGAATCAAGAGAAGAAAGGGAGAAGCTATGGCTCTCAATGAGAAGACACTTCTAGAGAAAATTGACAGTAGATTTGTGGTAGGTTTGAATAAAATAAAAATTAATTAATTAACTTTGTAAGAGGATGACACTTGACAATAATTCATTAGGGACAGGACCACCATTAACATGGTCATCTGAGCCACACAGAGGTCTAACCATTTGCAGATGTAATTACAAAGGCAGCACCTTTTCCTCATGTATTTTAAGACCCTGAGTGTTGTTCTTGCCGAGGACTGAACCATGACCTCGTGCATAACAGACAGATGCTCTTACCAACTGTGCTAACCGGGTGTCGGTTTGCATCTTATCAGTTTATTCTTTGTCTATTTCCTTGGTGCTCTTTCTATTTCCTTGGGTACCAAGTGTGGTGCAGTCACTGTGGTACTTTACTTGCTTCTTACCACTGAGGTCTCTGGTTCAATTGCTGGACTTCCCGTTACTAACTTTATAAGGACATGCGTAATAGGTAAATTATGAGCCTTGTATGAAATGACTGATGAAGAAGAGTGCCAATGGGCCTTTCACAATTTCAAGTCATGTAAAAAATGAGCCAGCTGAACTAGAAACCTTGGACAGCTGTTTAGGCCTATATTGGGCCTTGTCAGCATGGTGTATCTAGTGAGCTGGTAGAAACATCTACCTTTATGTGTGAGTAGAGTTTGTTGTGTGCTCTGACTTAGGTCAGTCCAAAGGTTGTTGTCCAAAGATACGGACTCCATTTGTTTAGTTTTGAGATTATACCTTACAAGTGAGTGCATCATACCAGTAAGATATTCTCAACATTAGAAGATAAAATCTGAATCTCTTTATACACTAACTATTGATGACATACACTTTAAGTGGATTTTTTACTATTTAATGTGATTCCTAAGTATTCAGTCGCACCAGTAGTACAGTATTTTCCCATGCTGCTGTGAGGATATCATGTTTTATAGAGAAATAAATAAAAGAATTTTTTATTTATATTGATCTCTAGGTAAGTCTAGCTTATGCATATGAGACCAAAGATGCCTTGTGTATGGTGTTAACACTTATGAATGGTGGAGATCTTAAATTTCATGTTCATAATATGGGCAATCCAGGATTTGAGGAAGAGAGAGCAGTATTTTATGCTGCAGAAGTCACACTTGGTCTCATTCACCTTCATTCACAAAGAATTGTCTACAGGTACTGTTTCTGTTTGCTTGCTTGTTCTGTTTGTTTTTGGAGGGAACTGAAGAAATTAGATAGAGGAATAGCAAAATTAAAGCAACATTATCAAAATATGCCAATTGTTCATTAGAATTTTGTCTTTCACTGCTGCAGGTAAAAAATATAAAAGGCAGAGACTGATTAATTTTGATTGACAGAACTTACAGAAAAACCAAATTTCATACAGATTTTGAAATATTAAATAATATTGAGAACATTTTAAAATGTAACACCATTTTTTTGATCGTACAATTCTACCTATCAAATTATTATTTAAAAATCCTTCCTTACTTATCTTTTAAATTTTTATGCATTATCATTATCATTTTATCTTAAAATCTATTTTTTGGGTCACTTTATGGTTATACGTGTAGTAATGAATTCTGTATCTATTCACTTTGGTCGCACTAGTGAGCATGTGTGAGGAATCATTGATTAGCATAATCACTTGGGTTCAAAGCTGCATAGGCCAAGCTATTTTTGTCAATTAAAAACTTCTAAGAAACCCAATATTTTTTTAATATGTTCTGAAAATTTTTTTTTAATTTCGAAACTACATATTCTTAGCTTTCAGAAAGTGTATACTTTTATGGCAAAATATTGTAAAATCTGGGTGGAGATTGAGGTACTTTTGCACATTTAGGGTCTTTAAGGGACCAAATCCCTTCCTGATACCTTAAGATAAATCAATTATAGAAAATTAATGCATGGTTGGAAATTTCAAAATTCATGAACGTTATAACAAATTATCTTGATGATACTGAATTAGAGTTTTGATTACTACAAACAGAGACTTAAAACCGGAAAATCTTCTCCTGGATGATGATGGTCATGTTAGAATTTCTGACCTTGGTTTGGCAGTCCAAATACGTAATGGAGATACTATAAGAGGCCGTGTAGGTACCATAGGTTATATGGGTAAGTGAATGAATTCTACCTTTCAGTATGTCATAATAATAAGTAATAATAAACAATAGATAATTAATGGGATTACATTGTAACAGTGGATTCCACAGAGTGGCTCTTCTTCCACTGGATTCCAATTGGAATTTAGAAGTTGATTTTTATTGAGGGAAGAAAGCAAGAGAACCCGGAAAACCCTTGAAGCACAGGAGAGAACCAACAAACAACTCTATTCACATACAAAAGTGAGCTCAGCTGGACTCGAACCCGGGTCGCATTGGTGAGAGGCAAGTGCTCTCACCGCTACGCCACCTGTGCTTCACCTGCGCTTATTAAAAATACTTTTTTCTGTATTATCATTAAAAATCTTTTCTCATTTATCTATACAATTATTTTATGCATTTTATATTGAAATCTATTTTTTGGTCACTTTACTTGGTTGTATAATGAATACTATATCTATTCATGGTAGTCACACTGATAATGCACATGAGAAATCATTGATTAGCATAATAACTTTGGTTCAAAACTACATTGTTCAAGTTAACCCTCCCTCCCTTGCACTGTTTTTTATTTGTAAAGCTCTGCCAGGTTTACTTCTCCATTTCTCAGTTAGGAGTATAGTGAAACTACAGTAAATAGAATAGTATTTCTCATAAAGGAGTGTATCAATATTTAGGATTCCCCATGTCAATTCTCCCCTTCCCTCCCCTCTCCTCTCCTCTTCTTAAAACACATGAATCCAACATCCTCCCCTGTAAACCACCATGTTATAGGACAATATTTGTAGACACCCACGATCAAAACTTTGCTCTACTTTACTGTTTTTCAAGTGAGAAAATTAGATCCGTTGCTGAATCCATTAACATCATTTGAGAATGAGTGTGAAACTTTATTAATTCATAACTTGAATTAGTTAAGCTTTTTATATTCTCTTTACTTAAATTTAGTTTATTCAATTTTAATTGTGGTTGGTGCCATACTTACAGTAGCTAATGGTTTTTATTTAAAAATTTACAGCTCCTGAAGTTATTAAAAATGAAAGATATACATTCTCTCCAGACTGGTGGGGGCTTGGTTGTCTTATTTATGAAATGATTCAAGGAAAGGTATTAAGATAAATAAATGCATAAATTTAGTATAATTATTAAATGAAAAAAAATCAAGGTAGAACACATGTACATTTCAGCCAGGTGATCTGGAATCTGGGCATGCAATACATTGATTGTTTCTCATGGCAAAAATTTCAAAGAATTTTCTTTTACAGATACCTGTTGTCAAAAGAAAATATTTTCAATGAGGAAATATGCTATTTCTAAAAGATATTTGGTAAATCTTTCCATAAAAGACTTTTATTTTCTTTATATTTGAGTAAAAGCAAAAAAAAGATGGAACCAGAAATATTAAGCTATGCACCCTTCTCATAATGGCTGATGAATGCACAGAAACAAGGTCACCCAGTCATCTTGCAAGGTTGAGCCAAGCTGCTCATTCAATATAAAGGCTGTTAGTGCTAATTCAGATAAAAACAAAGGTCATTTTTTAATACTTTTCTTCTTTAAAGTCATTTCATGTAATTTTATATCTTTTATCATGAAATAATGACTGGGTGACCTCGTTTTCGTGCACTTGTCAGCCATTATGAGAAGGGTGTATGCACAAAATATTTGCTGATTTGCTACATGTAATTCATTTGGTCTGAGAGAATCAAAATCACCTGGCAATGATAAATTTTATTATATTAATTAGTCAGTAAATCCCCCTTAAGAAATCAATTTGCCCATAGGTCTGTCATTCAGTCAGCAAATAAAACAGTCATTAAATAAACCATTCAATTGAAGATACTGTAGTGTGACTCATAGGGATAGTTTATTTATTTGTTTGTTCATTTTTTCTTGTCAAGTCTCCATTCAGGGCTCGAAAAGAAAAAGTTAAAAGAGAAGAAGTTGAAAGAAGAGTCAAAGAAGACACAGAAACATATTCTGATAAATTTAGCTCATATGCTAGATTAATATGTTCACAGGTAAATATATTAGTACTTACAATCTATATAAAAATTAGTCTTTTAGAGGTTCAAGTGGGGATTCAGCCCTTAATTCCACTTTCTTTAGCTTAAAATGAGAGTTTTGAATTTTGTGATGACAAATGATCACATCGACATGTATTATACTTGTCTTTGTCCTACCGCTATTCAAGGTGCCGTGAGGTCTATGTATTAAATTTGAATCCATTTTTGTGGTTAGCGAAATGAATTAATGGGTTGCAAGCATTTCCAAGAGAGTTAAAAGACAAAAGCATGGCACAGAGCCATTTTGATTCCATTAACAATGGATGTTATTAGGAAATCTTTTGCAAATGGCACCAATGCTCCCCTAAGAGGCCACTATAATGAAATATGCAATCGAAGAATAGATCCATCCTGGCTATGCTTGAGTGTCCTCCAATTGATGGGTAGTTTTCCCAATGGAATACAGTAAAGTAAAGTTAAATTTAGATTATCTGAAAATTTATTGGCATAGAGTCTGTACATTGATAATTGACTGAATTATTTGGCTTCCTTCCCTCCCCCCTCAGACTTTGCAAAAAGACCCCGCAACAAGGTTAGGCTGCAGAGGAGACGATGTCAGGAAACATCCTTTTTTTAGGTCAATTAATTGGTCTCAACTGGAAGCAGGCTGTACCCCTCCTCCATTCACACCTGATGTAAGTTACAGTATGATCAATATGTTCCTTTATTCTCAGATAATTCTTCCCTATTGTAACTAAAAAAAGTTGACTTTTGACACCTATTTCCTCTTTTTTACTTTTCTTTAGCCAAGAGCAGTTTATTGTAGAGATGTTTTAGATATAGAGCAATTCTCCTCTGTCAAAGGTGTACGACTTGATGAGAGTGATGAAGAGTTTTATAAGAGATTTGCATCTGGATCTGTATCTATTCCATGGCAGAAGGAGGTATGCTCTTTAACTTACAGTGCATCACACCCACTTGATATCTTCAGAGAAGATTTTGTATTAGCATTCATTGCAGTATGATGCACAAGAAATAGGAAAGCTTGTGTATGCTGTATGTTGGGTGCACCACCCCAATGTCTGAATTTTTGTGTTTGTTTGTGTTTCATCGCATTTCATCAAACTAGCCACTCCTGATTTGCATCAAATGCCCATCCTATTTGGGATGGGATGGGGGAAAAAAGGGAGAGAGGGAAAGAGTAAAAGTTGATAGGAAGCAAATTGAGAATTTTTGTCTAGCTCTTTAGTTATTGACCTGTTTGGTATTACTATATACAGTAATTATTCCCTCTGCTGTAAGATTTACTGATTGTTTTCTATTTTTACACACACAGATGATTGAAATGGGTTGTTTTAAGGAGCTCAACGTATTCGGACCTAACGGCACTCCTACTCCAGATCTAACAGGAGAGGCACCTCCAGAACCACCCAAGAAATCATCATGTACCTGCTCATGTTTTGGAGATGATGTAAGTTAATCTTCATATAATAGCACTGATTTTGCATGTACAGGGGAAAGAGTTGTTTTTAAATGTGTGGGACAGAAAACAAGAAAACATGATGCTGACATTCAGCAGGGAAACCTACAATACGCATAAGGCCAACTTGATTCTTGAGTCCACATAGAGCTTTATATCACAGTATACATACCCACACCTCCCCCCAGTACCATTGATTCTTTTGCTCCAGTACTTCTCAGTCATAGTGATTGAATAGCGCTGGAGCTGGAGAGCGCCTGGTTGTACAAAGGGTCGATAGTGCTATCAGACAGATAAATCTTATACAGTGGATAAATTTATTGGATAACACTGAGCATCGACTTATCCACTAAATGAGGATTTATCCATTGGATAGCTATCCACCCTTCGTAGAACCAGGCCCAGTAGTATGACCTGCATTGGGGAAACATGAATGAATATGAACACCAATGAAGGACTAATGCCCAGCATGGGAAATGTTAGCTTAGTGTATACCTTTTTAGCATATACCAACTTGTATACTTCCTAAGAGCGGGCGCTCATTGGTTAATTGGAGGTGAATATTGTACGATATTCACTTCACCTTCGGCAAATAATTGCTATAAAATATTACATGGTGTTGAGGTTACTTATGTCTTTCCCATCAATTCATGGTGATTTTTAATGTGACTTTGTATCATCTTTCTAGGATGACCTATAACACATTTAGGACAATTAGAAGGCTTCTACTTATTCAGACGACCTGTTTATTGGTCCAATTTTTTGACCTTCATCCGATGTATATTGATATGGATGATCTGTATTTACATACTGACGCCGTACATTTACCTGACGTTTGATTCACGGCCAGCACCTAGTGTGGATAGTATCCTTGTTTTATGCGTTATACAAAGTAGCATGGTCAGTAAGTGATGCATTTAGTTTAGCATGGTTGTATTGTCAAGCAGTAGATTACCATGGCTTGGGATCCCTGTGGTTAAACCACAGGTAGACCAAACATAAAAAAGACTGACATGTAGCGTGCAACTGGATAAAAATGCCTTGTTGTCTGTTGTTCTCATAGCAATATATCTAGGCTCTCTCGGTAGAAGAAAGCAACTTGTTCGACTAGTGATAACCTTAGTACTAGCTATTCTAAAAAGGTGAAAGAAAACCAGAATAGATGATGCCATTCCAAAATCAGTATCGACAATTATAAGTCATGACTTGAAAATGTTTCAGCCTTAGGGAAGAAAAAAAAAATGATGATTACTAATGTAGCTGTCAAACCTAAAAATACATTGAATAATTTACATTTTAATTATCAAAATATTTTCGGACATGGGGTCCCTGTGGTAAAGTACTCGTGGGCGCACAAAGACTTATGGGATGTCACCGCACGGAATGATTTATGGGAAATCCCATAGGTAATTTGTGTTTTATAAAATTTCATTAATAAGTGGGAAAAAATTAAATGTCAGAAAAATTTACAGTGGTTTGACAACAGCATGATCAATAAATGTGCGTCGGCAAGTCACGTCATAACCGCCAAGTTGGAAGAATGTGAAAATATTTTTTTGTTAAATGACCATACATGACATTCTTTTGTTTTTTTCTTTTGTAATTTTGTTCACTTGGGAATGGTTGCGATTTTATAAGTCTATACCTTATTAGATCAGGGTTTTTTTTGTACCTAAAATATACAAGTTCTTTTATGCTGTTATTCACAGCTGTTTAGCAATTAGTCCTCGAGCCCAAATGAACTATTGACTCATAGGCCATGAGGGCGAGAGGGCTACTGAATTGTTTTAGTCAAATCCAGCTAGTCAAACAAATATATAGATGTAAACCAGTTTTGAATTAAAGTTAAATTTAAGGTTTTGGTTTTCAAAGCCATCACATTTCGCTACTTGTAGGCTATAACTTATAGCCTAGTAGTAGCTCATCCAATCAGAATGCAGCATTGATGATAGACCACTAGTTGGATTTGACTAATGATATTTAGTCGGCAGTCGATCGCAATTTTTCTTGTATTAAGCGCCTGTATCCTGTACCTTTTATAGACAATCTTTAAAAAAAATTGGTTATCTTATCATATTTTTTATCAAGATGGTATTTGAAATGATAAATTATTCTTAATTACTGATCATGAATTTTGTTGTTTCTTATTTAGTTCTGCCCGTTGGTATTTTTTATTTTTTATTCTAGCCCAAGTCGTTTCTTTTATATAAATATTTCCATCCTGAGTTACGTGAAGAATGGTAACAAACCCGTTTATAATAGTCGTCAAATAAAAAAATAAAATAAAAAAATTATAATAAATGCCCCGACATTGATGAAAATCGAAGTTGTATGTTAGTAATGTTTAACAAATGAGTACAAACGTAAAATATGCCTAACGATGATGCTTTCTCTATAAAAAGATAAAGATTAGAAACTTGTTCTGAGGCGTATAAATAAAATTTGGGGAATTGGCTATTTTTCAGGTCGAGAAAACAACCACAAACTTTTTTTAAAAAACATCCTGTGCGAAAAAAATATTAACAAAATTGACACATTTTTTGTTATATATTATTACAGGTTTATGTTTTTGGACACAATTAACAATTTTCTTCCTTGCGAGCTGAGTCTGTTTTCTTTTGGCATTAAAAAAGGGGAGAGAAAAAGCCTAAAACTCTGCTTTCAGGAAAAACATTTTCGCTTGTATTTACCTAACATACGCAACGGTTTTTACCAATGTCTTTTGTCGGAAGATTTGGTCGTCTGGGATATTCAAGGTCCCACGAACTGAGCACCACCAAGAAAATATTTGTGCGGGTGGACGATCCCTTACCGATCTTTTAATCTTAGGTAAGAAAAACACACTAATCAAACTGTCAGTCATAGATTTCCGCATCGGGTTGATTTTGATTTTTTTCCTCAAAAGATTTATCTTTATCTTAGACGTTTTTTTTCGTTTTATCTTCGTGTTAATAAAGTCAAAAAGGAAGAGGAAAGTATTAAATATTGTAAATAAGTTGAAATCATTTTAAGAATCCACGGTTCTTTATATAATATTAATTAATATTAAATATTCGCCCGCTTTCTCTGTATATTTTCACGATATTTTAACGGTTAGTTTTGTCACCCATGTTAAAATTTGGTGCTGGGCAATCAGTTATTCAATAAAAACCGCTATTATTTTTTATGACAGACTCATCTTTATGCTCTCGCTTTATTAAGCCATTCAAAAACAAGCAGGGAACTTTGCTTTTTGTTAGCCATTCCGAGGTTAAGGGGGAAAATGTGTAGAGTTGGCTTGACGTGCATCATCAAAAAAATTTTACTCCCAAAATAATAAACAAATTACTCTCAAATTTTCAGTAGTTACTGAATAAGACATTCTCTTTCGATTTCTGGAGTCGGTTTGCTTGTAGCTTGAAATTTTTTTATGCTAAATAGGAAAAAACGTAAGCAAAGTTCGGGCTATACGCGCATCTCATCATTGTCTCCATCCTTTAAAGGTCGAGAAATTTGATGTAGTTTCTTTTAATTTCAAAAAAGGGTGAACCAATCTGAATAGCGCAGCGCACTGATTCTAAAAATAGCTTAAAGATTCGGACAAACATTGCATTCTGTTTAACCGCTACGAGGATTATACGAACCGATTTTATTATTTTTACTTAAAGTTACAATAATAACCCATGTAAACTAAGATCAACTGCGATCGGCTGTGGAAATTATCTGCTGAAAGTAAACTTGTAAGTTTGTTTGTCCAAATTTCGCCTTTATTTTCGTTTTTCTGACGTCTTCTAGGAGAAAATGTTTGATTAAGTTGCAGTGTGAGATTTATAATAAGAGGCAATTTTAGCGCACCTGGTAAAAATCTCTCGCGCGGTTTTATACTCGTCATAGCAAAATGCCTCTCTTGCTGGGCAAATTTTATATGTGAAAAACAAGAATATACATCTGGAGGATGGTTGTCACAAGTTTAATTGTTTTGACTCATATGATCAATTTGATAATCCGAGGTCCTGTTTTTTGTGTGTATAAATCTCGAAGCCATTCAGAATCCAAGAAATCCATCAGTGTCGTTTAATACCTATCTATTTAGCCCAAATGGATTTCTTTTTCCTGTTTCCTACAGTAATCCTTGTGCTTTTTGCACATGAAGGTAAGGGTGCAATGTTATTTTATTGTCGAATAAGATTTTATTCCTTAGGACTAGAGAAGTTTAACTTAAGTGTATTCGCTATATTTTGAAAGTCGGTTTAGTTGTTTTTCTTTCCTTCCTTTCTTCCTTCTTTTATTTTGAACTTCTTATATGAGTTCAGGAAAAGCACTTTTCATGTTGATGCTACAAAAGGCGGTCAGCTTTACAAGTTGTCAATAAAATATAAAACCAGATGTTGACAGCTCCGCAATTTTAAAAAGTCAATACTAGTTCGAGTTTCGAAAGGTGTATAATATTGAGTTAAGCTACGGTACTGATGCAAGTGTGGATGTTAAACTCTGGGGTTTTCTCAGTATTCAGCTGTATCCAATGTTGATTTCACAGTTATCTTCTCACTGATCTTCAGGGCTTTCTACACATCAACTTTAGTATCCACGTCCATTAAATAAGCGAAAAGTACACCATACGGTACGAACGCATGTTTATCGTAACGGTGACGAATTCCACGCTTATGCAAAGGAATAATAAAAAGTTGGCGAATCCTTTCAATTTTTCCCGACATTTGTAAATTTTTCCTTCTAGGACGTGCTGCTACATCCCAGATAAGGTGCTATCAGTGTTCTTCCACCAAGTCTTACGAAGATTGCGAAGCCATTCAGAAAGAGAAAGAGTGCCAGATCAACGTTCCTGGCTTTGACTGGACGTGCGGGAAATTAAAGAGTGCGGTCTTTTTGCACAATATGACAAGTATGATGTACTCTAGGGATTGTATTCTGCTGAAGGAATGCAAAGAAGATGCTTTCTGCAAGTCGAAGCGCGGTTCTTTTGAAGCTAAAGTAGGCGCAAATGCCACTGTTCGCTTGTCAGAATTTTCCTGCGAGATGCACTGCTGTAACGAAGACCTTTGCAATGCTGCGTCTTCTTTCTTGCTTTCCAACGGTTTTTCCTTCAGAGCTTTTGCCGCTTTTGCCGTACTTTTTCTGTTTTTCTTTCATTAATTAAACGACAAAGCTTTGCTGAAACGATCAGATGATCAACAGTTTTTGTTTATACCTAAAAGCATGCAATGGATATATTTATTTGTAATATTATTTTACACTGAAAATATAGCAAATCTGACTAGCCTTCCGTTACGCATGCTATTTTCATTTGCGTTGAAAATGCTTAAGTCTTATTGCAATAAAGACTTGATACTCTCTCGTGCAGGCAAAATTTTTGTGTCCCATTATATTTTTAAGTACGCAACTGGGAAGAGGAAGGCCAACATGTAGAAAGGTAGAACAAGGTTGGGACTTGTACTAAGGGCAGCTGTATAGTAAAGGGTGGGAAGAGGTTAAACGCTTAAAAAAAGGTGATGGGAAAACTGGATGGAACACAAGCCCAGACGCTGGGTAAATTCTCCAGCATGCGCAGGTAAACTTTCAGTGGACCTTCCTTTTCGCGAGCACAGGCAACCCAACAAAAGCGAAGCGGTCAAGGAAGGAACACAGGCTCCAAGGGCGAAATGGGTGGGTTCAGGCACGTGACAGGAACGAAACAGTCAAGATAACTGATAGAACAATGAACTAGAAAATAATAAGCTGATAGAAAATCTTTCGATTTTGCAAGTTACATAAAAAGTACAGTAGATTTTTCAAAATGTTTTGTGGTAATTATCCAGTAGTGGGATCCCTGTGCATTCAAGTAAAAACGCGCGTGCGCGAACATTGCATGGGCGCCATTTTTAAAGTGTACAAAGATCTACAACAGCTGTTCTGCTCCTTCTCCATATTTAACAGTTTAAAATCATCAAACAAGGTAACTTTTACATTTTAATACATGTTTTTCACGTCAGGGCTTTTATATTTGAATATACGACATGCAAATATGAAATTTAAAGACTTTTATTCCATGAATTTATTCATTTATTCCGGCAATTTTTGCTTGATATTGTAAAAACCTTATAAGCAATGGAGTTATGAAAGGTTTCGCTAGGCGCGTCGTTTTGCAGATATGGTTTTTATAGAAAAAGGAAAGCATATATTTGGATGGAAAACGTTAAATTCATATAAATATCCAAAATGTTTTGTACTCAAAAAGTCTAAATATTCTGTTCGAATGATACAGGTCGTTTAGACTTAAACTTCTCTCATTTCTGAAAATTCTACCTCTTTGTCTTCAAAAAATATTGTCTGAATGCTCCCTTGGAGTTTGTTTACAAATGAGCTCAAAATTATGTAATGCATACCATACATATCCTTCATGCATGTTTTACTGAGAGGAAGGTTTGCAGGAACATATAATATCCAGAATTTCCCCATATGCAGTGGTTTGGGTGCTGGGTCTCTGATCCCCACCAAACAAAACACTCAACTAAGACAAAAACTAACATTGGAAAGGGAGTTCACTGGCACACTAGCTAGGACCTCCCAAAAATGCTCTTGGTTTGATTAACCTGACTATATTTATAATTACACAACCCTGACAAGGAGCTTAGGCAACCTGCAACAAGCTATGATTCTAAAGTTGAGGTCTGGATTTTTGGCTCCTGTCAATCAAAAACCTGAGGTTTGGTGCTGTGTTGGTCATGTACTTATGAAAATGGGTGAGTGATAACTGTAGTACTACTGTATGAGCATTTACCCTTCCTCAAATTACACTGCATGACAATAGAGGCTTTGCACCATCACGTGATGGCAGCCATATTAGATGGCAGAAACAATATGATCATTTTACATAAGAATTCAATTTCCCAGAGCCATCTGTTCAGCCATCTTGTTCTGCCATCAAACCACAGTCAGCCCAAGCTGTATTTTGGGTTTGGCACATGATGGTTCAAAACCTTTATTGCATAGTTTGATCTCTCTCTCTCTCTTGTCAATAGTTTAGGTAAATTTACTACGTTAGTTACAGCTAGTTACAGATTTGTTTATAGTTTTAGCCTTTTATTTTGGAAATGAGAAGATGCAGTGAAGGGTTTGGTCGCACTGTTATCTGTATCACTGGCTTGAACTCCATACCAGAACACTCTGTGAACACAAAGTTCTTCAGAAGAGTGGCAAGTACTGTCTTGATCTCAGCCAAGGCAAACTTGTTTCCAATGCAGGATCGTGGACCAATGGAAAATGGTAGAAAGATATTGGGAATATTGGATGGCTGACCATCTGAGAATAGAAACAAAAAAATGTAATTTAAGTAGAGCTTTATTGTGTAATAATCTTATTAAGTGGTACCTCTATTAAGGACAATTTTGAGACCTTGCCTGGCTTCCACTCAATTAGCCATTTTGAGGTTGCCATTTTGAAATTGCATACAACCTGTGAAATTTTTAAGTGTTTCAATTGTTCGTTGATCTGTAAATTCCTTTCATTACTGCGGACTGTAGTCAAGTTCTAAAGAATAATTACACGCTGATGAGGCTGAGGTTGAGTAACGGTATCTGTGAAATGGCCTATTATTATACAGAATGATGAAGGGATGGCAGGGGAAAGACTAGAAAAGAAAAAAAACAGTCCCAGGAGAACCCAGATGGTGTGGGTTGTGTCTGATAGTACAAAAGGTATAGTATAGATGGAAACTAACCATTTTCTTGGAATCTATCTGGTATGAAGATGTCTGGATCTTTCCAGTACTTGGGCAAAATATGCGTAGTCTGTATACCTACAGCTACTGTCGTACCCTTTGGTATCAGATACCCATCGATAACATCATCTTCTATTGCCTGTCTAACCACATGATATACTGGTGAATGTAGCCTTAAGGATTCCTTGACAATGTTACCAAGAAATTTAAGCTCATCAAGTTTGCTCCATTCTATGTTTAAATCTTTTCCAAGTACAGCAAAAACTTCTTCTCTGGCTCTTGTTTGAATTTCTGGATTTTTTGAAAGCTCGTACAGAGTCCAAGCTAAAGCAACACTTGATGTTTCATGGCCAGCTAAGAGAAATGTAAAGACTTGGCTTCTCATTTCTTCCACATCTTTTTTACTTGCACCATCATAGTGTTCAAGAAGACGATCCAATAAATCCTTCTTTTTGGTTTGTGATTTGGTCGAATTCATTTTTTTATGGATAACCTGTGATGACAGACAACAAAAATATTTAAGAATAACTTGTAAGTAAAACTTGTAAGGTTTAGGCTAGTAGTTTAAAGAGGCTGTGGGTTTAAAGCTGTATGCATACTGTGGAATATTCAATGTACTTATACAACACATACTACATATCTTGAAATCTAAATCCTACCATTTTACAATAGTGCTCTAAACATGTCCTCATAATTAAGTTACTAATTAATTTCCTGTCAACTTAATTCTTAGTTCTCTTTTTTATCTGGTACAGACTACCAATCAACTAATTTTGTCAAATAATTTTAATTTCCGAACCAAGATTTTAACAAACATAATTGGAATTTTACCTCTAAAACTATTTCATCTGTGATTTTCATTGCATTTTTACTTTCAGTGTAAAAGTACTTGTAAAAAGGAAATAGTTTCATGAGGAGAAGATGGCTGAAGTTAGTGACTTGTATAATGGAGGTAAATGCTTTGGCTAACTGATTGTCTCCTGAAAAGACTGAATCAAAGTCATAACCAAAAGCACACTTTCCAATGATATCCAAGGTACAGTGGTTAAGGTCTTTTTGTGCTTCAATGTCACAGAATCCAGATGGTGAGGAAGAAAGCTTATCAGTCCAAGTCTGGTAAGAAAAGAAAAATTGTTATATGGAAATGCAATCGACCTATAGCTAATCAGTGTTGGTGCAATGTTTTCCCACTTATTCTTGGCAATGACACATTTTCTGTTCTGGAAAAACATTGTACCAAGACAAATTAAGTTATTAAGACACCCAAAAAGAGAGGTAAACTTTATGATTTTAGATGTACAATAATGGTTTATTGAAATTTTTTAGAAAATAATCTGAAAAACAAAAACAAGAAACAAAACCACTGTAACAGATCAATATTTTATTGACAAACAAACAAAAACAGCTACAACAACAACAACAACAAAACAAACTCCATTTCCAAAATTTGAAATCTTTCTTTTAAAACTTTATAGCTTGGATTATAAAAAGACTCACTTTGACTAAATTGTGTGCCACCTGTTGAAACACTGCAACCATTCCTTTTAAGTTACTGTAACTAAAGGCGGGAGAAACCATTTTATACTGGCGCACATGATCGTCATGGCTACAGGTAAGAAGTCCATTGCCAACACTTGGTACGAATGCTCTGATGTTTTTAGTTTTGACATATTTATGTCTGTGTGTGATGAGAACATGTTTAAGGTTCTGTGGACCTGTAACATTGACTCTTGTTCCACCTGTGTAAAATAGTTGTACAACAGTAACATATCAAGGCGTGTATGGGTTGATTTTGACCTCCCTTATGCCAAGGCACATCCATCGTCATCCCTGCATGTACAAACTGGTCATGCCAGATGACTGTTTTAATGGGTGACAAGGGACTTACTCAGTCTTACACATTCCAAGCAACCTTGAATAAAACCATCTTTTTGATCATTATAATGTGAATAATGAAGCTAAACTAAAATTAATGTTACTTGTGTAAAGCGTAAGGAGATAGGTCATTCCAAGATCCAAGTATAGCTAGAATGACTTGTGGTTCTGCTTCTTATTCTCGTCAAGARCATGGACCTTAGTGTTGAGACTGATTCAATTTACTTTGTATTCAATGAAACCATGTCGGAATGACCTATCACCTTTTGGCGATGACAACGTTTATTGAAATGTGTATATACCCATACAAAATTCTCTACTCTTCCCATCCAGGGTTATATTTAAACACACTCCCATAGGTTTCAGTCCATTCTTTCATAATATTTATATGATCCTTTCTCTTGATAAACAACAACATATTACCAATGATCGGTAGGCCTGGAGGCCCAGGTATCTTGCTTAATGAAGAGTATCTGAACTGGATCGTTCGATATACAATCCAAACCAGTATGAAAGTGATTAGTGCAGATAGTAAAGTTCCCCATGAAGAGCAAGCAACGAACAAAGAACCAAACATTAATATAGTTGATATTAACTAGTTAAAATCCTGTGTTTTTGGTTAATTCTTAATTAAGTTGTCAGTTTATTGGCTGAAGTCACTGAACGTTCCATTTCAAGCAGGCGTTCCACGACAATACACTCGTACCCAGGCCAACCATAACCAGGTGGTGTGTGAATTCCCTCCCCTCAAACATATATATATATATATATATATATATCGAGCAAGCACTTCACCTACAAAAAAAATATTTCGCAACCTGTCCTTTCAAAGAAATATCGAGAAAACACCAAGAAATTGCGTCCAGGGATTGTTATGAAAAAATAAATATCGTGCATCACAAATTCATGCAATCCCTACCCCCTCGCGAAAATGGCTATTCGGGGAGGGACTGATCTTCCCCATTCTCCAGTCCCCTCCCTGGAGAGCCTTGTTCACAGGCTATCAATTATCTAATGGTCCATCTCTCAGTTATGGAGAATAATATTATACATTTTACTTACTATCTCACTCTAGTCATTGGCCGAGGGCCCTCAGTTAATCCAAGTGTGTGAATTCGACATATTAAATATATGATATTACATATATAACATTTATCGCGTCAAGTTTATTGAAGGTCAAAATGATGATAGAAATACGTTTGTTAGTTACTGTAGGAGGTCTGGGTACCAGGGCTGTCCCTTCCAATAGCGCAGCGCAGCCATGACGTCATAAAACGAAGACAAAGGCGAAATTCGGACAAACGTATTTAACAAACTTACAAGTTTACTTTCAGCAAATAATTTTCACAGCCGATCGCAGTTGATTTTAGTTTACATGGGTTATTATTGTAACTTTAAGTAAAAATAATAAAATCGGTTCGTATAATCCTCGTAGCGGTTAAACAGAATGCAATGTTTGTCCGAATCTTTAAGCTATTTTTAGAATCAGCGCGCTGCGCTATTCGGAGCCAACAGTAGAGTTTTTGACTGGTCCTGTCTGATCTTTTAGAGGATCCTGGGTATCAGGACTATCGGGGGGTTGATGCATGATGTCCACTGCCCCCAATCCTAAAAGAATGCATCGACCGCTAGTGATTCTTGGTCCGGGAAACGCGAAACGTACCTGGGAGGTTGATGGTTCAGTCGAGAGGCGTAGAGATCGACCTATGGCCTGTAGAGCTTCTGGCAAATGGATCTGAAATATTCCTTGTTCAACGTCCATTCTGTGCGAGACTCTATCTGTCGCGACGCTGTGTCTGCCTCCGAGTTCTCTACTCCAGGAATATGTTGGGCAGTCAGTCATACCCCTCTCTCTAGGACCACAGACCATAGTTCTAGTGCTTGACTCATCAGAGAGGAGGAGCGAGTCCCTCCTCTCTTGTTGATATAGGCCACTGCTGTTGTGTTGTCCATCCTTAAGTGGATATGCTTCGTTACTGGAGATGGTTTCCCTTGGAAGACGAGTCTCAGTGCCAGAGTTGCAGCACGTAACTCCAGGGTGTTGATATGAAGCTTCTTCTCCTCCGGGTTCCAGTGACCTCCTGTCGATGTCCCTTGATAATTTGCTCCCCATCCCAGTTTTGACGCATCTGTAAAAATCGTCATGTCGAATGGCGAAAGTTGTAGTGGTTGTCCATTGAGGCGATCCGGTTCCGACGACATCCACCAATCTAGGTCTGTCTGGGCCTGATCTGGTAATGTGATTAAGACCTGCAACTTCTGACCATGCAAGGCAACTGCTTGAAGATGCAGTCTCTGGAGTCCCCGGTAGTGTAGTGGTTCTACCCAGACCCCAGTCTGCGCTGCATTGTTCATCAGTCCCACAAGAGAGGCCAAGGCCTGTATTGTGGTGTTGGCATTCGTCTGTAGTTGACGGCATGCCTCTTTGAGTTCGGGTAATGATAGTGTCATCGTCCTCCCCGAGTCTAAATGCGCACCCAGGAACACCATGGATCGTGTTGGGTTCAAAGAGCACTTCTCCGCTTTCACGAGGAAGCCCACCTTTTCCAGGAATTGCACCACCTGTCCGAATAGTACAAGTAGCCTCTGCTGGTGTTGGTGTAACAGAAGCATGTCGTCGATATACATCACTGTCCGGATTCCCAGCGTACGAAGGGTGGCTAATACAGGTTTTTAGGATCTTGGTGAAAGCTCGGGGTGCAGAAGACAGTCCGAATGGGAGACACTGGAATTCGTATGTCTTCTCCTGGAATATGAAGCGCAGATGCTTCCTTTGTGGTTGGCAGATGGGTACTGATTATTTACACTTCCGGTTGACGTCGCCTTCTTAGATTTTGCGAATCTTAAAGTCCCTATTAGGGAGTTAAGCTTTGTAACGATTTAAGTTCGCCACACGAGGCCACCAAAGTTGACTTAAAATCTGACCGTCTCAAAGCAGCGATTTGACGAAATTTCATTTTTCGCGATTTTCTCGTAAAAAATGCAATTTTTTTTCAAACAAAATACCTCATGATTTGTTTCATGTTATGGTCTATCTATGGTTAAAATATGAGCAAAATCTATTTTTTGAGCTTTGCCACGATTGTCTGGTTTTTACAGACATCTTCTCTTAAGCGATAGGCTTAAACCTTGTAAAAATGTGCAGTCTTTTAAGCATGCAATGCGAAAAAATTTTTTAAAGGAGTTTCTAAATGACAAAATTTTTACTAAAGATAATTATAATTACGATAACTAGATATTTTCCCCTCGAATTATGATGCTTATAGTTTAGGTCTTTAAAATTCATTTGCATATCTAGATATATATTTTATTTTTCCTCTTATATATAATGATATAACTTGTAGTCCTGTTTTTGAAGAGGTTTGATTTGAGATTTGCGTGCATTAACACATATGCTATTGTTTTTACCTATAGTCAGCTGTGTTTATGTACATGTGTTTCTTGTTACAGGCCTTTTTGAAAGCAGGTGTATATATAGTATATTTTATCTTTGATTTATATTTGTATTTGCATTTATATTTAACTTTTATATCAAATTGTAATTTTTATTTGTTAATGCTTCTGAAAAGCCCTGTAAAGGGAAGAAGTAATAAAGTATGTACGTAAATAAGCTCTAGCATACCATATTGGGCAACCCAGTGCACTCTCCAAGAGCGTCTTGTTCTCTAGAATCTTATGATAGAATTATCAGTTAGACGACATAAAAGCGCGCGCCCATGGCGATATAGACGCACGAGAGAAAATATAAAGAACGATTAACAAGCGAAAGAGTGGCACGAGGCGAAGCCGAGTGACACTAGCTTGTTAAGAGTTCTTTATATTTTCTCTCGTGCGTCTATATCGCCATGGGCGAGCGCTTTTTTTTCGTCTAACTGATTTATAATATGACCAAAAATCTACCGTGCGACCCATGGGCAAATAGTTCATAGGCATTTCAGCCAATCAGAGCGCGCGTTATATCACCCATCTCGCTCGTGCGCGCGCTATTGACGCCATCGGGTTTGAAAATTTAGACAAAAAAGGCGAGCGTCCGTTGAGATCAGCGTGCGCGAGCGTGCAGCCCATTGGGAAATAGTTCATTGGTTTTTGGCCAATCGGAGCGGGCGTAATAGTCTAGTTATATTATAAATATTTCTCGTAGCCTTTTCTATACATTTACAAAATATTCATATATTAACTTTAGTTTAAGCTATGTTTAATTCCAAGATTTTCACTCGTATTACTCGTTATTAGAATAACGCATTTAGGAATTTACTTATTCTTTTAGCCAATCATGATTCAACAATATTTTCACATTGATTATAGAATGACACCTGTCATAGAATTATTATAAATACAGCCCATGTAATCAGTTCAATACAGAAAGTAGAATAAAATCCCGAGGCTCATACCGAGAGCAGTCGTCCCATAACAAATATTTGTCAAAGCGTTTCCATGATTTCGCGCATTACATCAGCGGGGAAACTCGGTATGCCACTTTTTCTAAACAGTTTATTGGACAACTGAATTTTACAAATAATGTATGAACATTATTAACACCTAAGGATGAAGGATGTTAATTTTTTTCGTTTTTTAGTCATTTGGTTACCAGAGTGGGCCAACTGAAGATAATGATGATATTTGTCAACCAAAAGGTATTTATTTCAGCAATAATGTTTTAAAGATAAATAATGTGTCTTGTATGTTTTGACGTTTTTATGAATATTATTAGTATTATCGGTGACATTTTTAAAATGTCATACTTGTACGGAGTTAAATCCGACGATTTTCGAATTTGTTGGCGTGGAAATTCCCCTAACCTCTAAACTCATTTTCAACCAGGCTCACAACTGAAAAAAAAAATTGAATGTAAGTCTTGCAAACTTCAAAACTATGCAAAAAAATTTCAGAAACTTGAATTCGAATCTTGGAACTATTTTCATTGTTGTTTTCCTATTCTTAAAAGTCTTACTCTCCCCTCTGTTATTTCGAGATGTGATAATATTCTAATATTTTTAAATTTAAAAAAGAATAAAAAACAATGATTATGAGTCTTGCTACTTCAAAACCATGAAAAAAACTTCACAAACTGGAATTCGAAGTTCGTGAAACTATTTTCGTTGTTTTTTTGCTATTCGTAAACGTCTTACTCTCCCCTTTGTTTTGTTTTGTTTTGTTTTGTTTT